GCAAGTTCGGATAACTTGAGCCTAAATTTGCTGAAGAGCTAATACTAGTAAGACTGGCTGTTAAGGACATATCCGGTAATCCAGATAAAATTGATCCTGATGTCTGAGCCGACATCCCAAAGCGAGATGGAAAAGTGATTGGCTGACGCAGGTGAGTATACTTATCGGATAATCTCTCACCACCCCAAGCTTCTGGAGGGGTGATGGATGAGTCTTCACTCTTGGAAGATGGAGCAGGAGTTGATTCTAGTAGTGCAAATGACGATTTGGTGTCATCCTGCACCAAGGAATAAAGCAAAATCATCATTCAGAACAATGTGTCATCCTGCACCAAAGTTGCTCATTATAATTCAAAATATGAATATTTGCATTATGCATTCATCCAAGAAAGCTAAAGATTTGGATAGGTGAGACCTGTTTAGAACTTGAGCTGGGCTTCCAGTCAAATATTGGATGATCACTGGCCCCATCCTCTGCAAAAGGGAATCTCCTACTGGACGAAGGAAACAAAAGTGAGGAAGGCTTTTTATCCGCAAGCAAATGGTCCTTCTTTGATCTGTCATGATCATCCCACAGCTTGTCGAGTGTAGGTGTGATTGGATGGACATCCACAAGAGGGGAGAACACCTCCATATCATCCTTGAAGTTATAAGTAGATCGAGGAGCATGCAATCTAGACAATGTTCCACCTGGCCATAAATGGCCTCGATGTGGTGTCTCCTCTGCAGTAGATACATGTAGTGTGCTTGAAGTAAATCCACTGCCAGCTGCTGTAACTGAAGATGTCTCCGCAGATAAACTTGAACGGCCTGGATTTCGAGAACTAGATACTCCCATAGATAGAGGAAGGCTTGATGAGGTCACAGAAGGAAGCGGGTCAGGCATAAGTATTGAATCTTCAACAGCATCTCCTAAAAGAGCGGTCTCGAGAGTACAATTGCTTTCGTTTACTAGGACAGGTTTTGACCTTTGCCAGCATAGACTTGTAACAGCCTGATGAATACTGTAAACGATTAGTACAAACAGAGTTAAGAAGAATTTTGATACAAGAAAAAGTTGAAATCTTTTGGCTCAACAGAACCATGTCATTCATGTAGACTGCTAGTTAAAAGCTAACGACCTATTGTGTGTCCCTATGAGAACATCCTTGTGATAAATCCACCTAACCAGGGTCGGTAGAAAGTTCGAATCAGGACATAGAGACAATATATATGCCCCTAACCCTAATGGTAAGGCATCTTGATCCTTAGTGATGACAAACTAACAACAGCATAGTGTTAAATAAAAATGCTAGAAAACAAATTGCCAAAACTTTTAGAGACAACACAAGTTTCTCCAAAATTCGCATGTTTCAGAGATAAAACACTTTAGTTTATTAATCTATAAGCTGCTATTCAAGGAACAGTGCCCTGATTATGCAGGGATCTTCTGAGCCTAATGCAAGCAAACAAGAATGTGTTGTCCAACACTATGCATCAGGCAGTGATGGGGAGGACCACAATAAGGAGAGAGAGAGAGATACCTCTGAACTACTATAAGCACGAAGAACGGTGAAAGGTTCTGGTTTACCACGGACATCATAGAACACCACACGACCACTGCTTGTTCCAGCTGCCAGTACCCAGCCATCATCTCTAAATGCCAATGAAGAGAAAGGTGCCTCGTAGGAAATACAAGATGAATGTCGTCTAGACCCTGAGTCGTAAGTATACAACTTCTTATCAAGCCCAACAGTAGCAATCATCTGTCAAGAGGAAAATATTTTCCATATCACAATGCTTAATTAATCTCTCTCCAGACATTCTGACCCTTACAAAGCTTCACTATTTCATAGAAAAAGATAAAATAGCCTTCATCTTAAACATAGTGGTTCGAGCAGGCAATCAATCAGAATCAAGAAAAAATAAATGGAACCCCCTCGGCCAAGGAACCGATCTGAAAGGAAACATTATGGACTGCAATATGTAAAGTTAAGGTGTACTTATCAGACCTTGTCATTAGATGGTGAGAAACTGATACCAGCAGTTGGCGCAGAATGCTGCTTCAACCAAGAAACCTGCATAAAAAAAGTTTGAAAAGAAAAGAAAAGAAGAAAACCAGTTTAGTTACAAACACAAAATGAAAAACTAAGAGAAACAAGAATCAGTAGGAAAGAAATACAGGAAGTTTTTCAAAGGGTAAATTTGACAGCTAAGATTATCAAAAAACAAGATCAATGCTTCCTTTGGGTTTGGGAAGAAGGAACAATTGGACAAAATACAGAATGAAAATTCTCTCTACTTCAAATATGACTGTTTCTATCACCAAAAAGAAAGCCTGTTTTCCATATATAAATAAACTGGGAACACACTTTTAATTTCCATTGACCCAAATGGAAATGTAAACCCAAAAGACCAAGAAAACTCAGTAAAGCATTGATGTTGGTACTTTTTTTTTGTTTTTGTTTTTTGGAATAAACATGTAGAGAGGAGATTCATTAACATACTGCAAACCTTTGGGCTACGACCGGTTGTGTCCCACAAATGTGCAGACCCATCATCACCTGCTGTCACCAAAAGGTGTCGGCTAATCCGGGAATAGTCAAGCACTCTTAATACCTGGTCTTAAAAACCAGCAAATAACCAATTAGCTCAGAAACCAGGGACTCAAAGCCACAAAGACCAGGGTAATAATCCGCGGAAAGATGCAATGAGAAGACAACCTGTCCATTAGGGTCCTTGAGTTCAGCAGTCCTTGCACCAGATGTAAGGTTGTGAAGTATTAAATCCCCATCGACACTAATGGAAGCTAAGTGCTCATCTTTGCAATTGTACATTGCACCCGTAATTGTACTAGAATGACCCCTCAACCATTTAATACAGCGCTTTCTTTGCAAATCCCATATTCTTACAACCTGACCACTTCCACCAGAACATATGTATCTAGAAACCTTGTTACTGAAGCTGAGAGCCAATATAGACTCCTGCATAAATAGTTCAACCAGCAGAACATCAACTACTAAACCAACCCAGTCTTTCAAGTACTATTGTCTCCACTGTCACACCATTTTAACACACCATGTCTATTTGAATTATATAATTGTGATTGAATTACCTCAATGTTGTCTCCACTGTCGGTTCCAGCCACAGGAATGGTGCCCATGCTCTTCCCATTCTTATTCCACAAGGATATCTTCTTATCATCTCCAGCACTAGCCACCACCAAATCTGAAAAATCACAACCCCCATTGATTAACAAACAAATGCAGGATTTTTTATATTTAAAAAAAACAGAACTTTATGATTATTTTCACCTAAAACTTTCTCATTTACAAAAACCTTGATAATATTCAATTCTTACAAACACAGATAACAAAAATCAAAACCAACACAATGAAATCCATAACCCATCATCCCATTGAGAGAGAGAGAGAGAGAGAGAGAGAGAGAGAGAGAGAGAGAGAGAGAGAGAGAGAGAGAGAGAGAGAGAGAGAGAGAGAGAGAGAGAGAGAGAGAGAGAGAGAGAGAGAGAGAGAGAGAGAGAGAGAGAGAGAGAGAGAGAGAGAGAGAGAGAGAGAGAGAGAGAGAGAGAGAGAGAGAGAGAGAGAGAGAGAGAGAGAGAGAGAGAGAGAGAGAGAGAGAGAGAGAGAGAGAGAGAGAGAGAGAGAGAGAGAGAGAGAGAGAGAGAGAGAGAGAGAGAGAGAGAGAGAGAGAGAGAGAGAGAGAGAGAGAGAGAGAGAGAGAGAGAGAGAGAGAGAGAGAGAGAGAGAGAGAGAGAGAGAGAGAGAGAGAGAGAGAGAGAGAGAGAGAGAGAGAGAGAGAGAGAGAGAGAGAGAGAGAGAGAGAGAGAGAGAGAGAGAGAGAGAGAGAGAGAGAGAGAGAGAGAGAGAGAGAGAGAGAGAGAGAGAGAGAGAGAGAGAGAGAGAGAGAGAGAGAGAGAAGGTAGTGACTGACTGGTGTGGTTCCACTTGAGCGAATTGACATGGGAGCCAGGAGAAGGAGTGTAGCTCAAAACGCAGGGATCGCCGGACTTGACCGAGACATCAAAGAGCTTGACAGTGTCACCTCCACTTGCTGCCAGTAACGCCATCGATGGATCCAAACCTGAATTCATATTCATTCTCCCTCTTTCTTCCCCAACTTTCCCGATTTGGTTTTTCTTTCCTTCTTTTTTCTATTATCTCTTAATGAGAAGCTATGCCTAACTCCACATCCAATTTCCCGGAAAATCCAGTGATTGGATTCTCGGGATTTTTGAGAGTGAGGTCGAAGAAATTATGAAATGGAAGAGTTGGTTTTTATCTTTATTTATTTGTTCACCTTCTTTTTTTTAAAAAGAATTGGGTTTTGAAATGAAAAACCCTACTGAAATCAAAAAAGAGGGCGAAATTTAAATGAGAGAGAGAGGTAATAAGTGGGCGCCTTCAGGCCCGCGGCCATGAGCCCACAATTATTTAATTATCTTTTCCTTTTTTCTTTTAAAGTATAGTTTTTTTAGGCTAAAATGCAGCAATGATCCCTTGAACTAAGACCCGACTTTACTTTTCGTCTCTGATTTAAAGCATTGAGTTTTATGACCAATAAGGTGAATAAAAATTCAAATTTCAGTGAACCACAGCGGATGCGAACTTGGTTTTTGCATACAAACGAAACTAGGCAGCTTCATACAGATTATGCATCCGCATCAATAAATAAAAAAAAAACGGATTATGTATTGCAGAATCAAAACCAGATCAGGCATTTCCGCCATTTTCACATTTCTACAAGCAACTGTTTGCTCATTCAAATTCCTCTTTTTTGAAGAGGATATTGGCAAATTGTTGGCCACAAATTGGCCATATCTGTCTTCTTCAAATTGCTTTAAGATTGGAAACAGCAGCAATCATAAATGGTTAGCAGCAGGACAGAAACACGAAGCCATGACCCCCATAATAAGATGCAACATATAGCCACCAATAACAGTTGGACCATCTCTTAACACCAAAATAAGCTTAACACCAATGAGTAACATTACTAATAATCTGAGAAAACTGAAGACTTCTTTAGGGAGTGAAATGCGGCCATTTCTGTTGGCCTCAATGGAAAGCACAACAATGAGTTGCCAGACCAAATATATGTACACAAATGTCGCAGAATAAAGCATTACAGAGAAAGGTGAACGAGGAAACATAAAATTCTTCTGCCTCAAGCGACTCCAGAGTATTTGTCCCGACATCCAGCTTCTATAGCCCCTCCCCAGCTTGAAGCACCGTACTTGGGATCTACTAGAGATAAGAGGAAAGTTCTGAGGCTGGCAACCTTCATTTCCAGCCAAGTCACCCAACAAAAAAACGGAAAAAATGCCTGCATGAGGAAAAATAGATATAAAAATAAAAATAAAAATAAGTAAAAAAGAAGAGGAAAATGGCCACCAATAGTTGAGTAGCAAATAGCACAATGAGACTAGCATTGCAATTCATGAACACATGATAAAACAAGTCAAATCTACAAAGAATTGCATAACCACGGGGAAGAAAGCACAACACCAGAACTACAGGATCTTTTTATGAGCACATGGTTCATAAATAGTTAAAAAGGCTTTTGGGAATGAGATTGGACTGATTGGCCTTCACTAAGAGGAGGCCAAAAATACATGCAGTTGCCTTGTGTTTATGAGATAACATTGATCCTTTCACAGAATTATGTACTAAAAGACCAGCTTCAATAACTTTTCCTTTCCCATGCCTCAATTTGCTTGACTCAAAAGTGCATCTTCAGCAATTCAAGCAACAATACACGTCAAAATACAAAATGCGGATCAGCAAGTAACATAAAAACTACTGAGGTATACTCAATTTCTAAGGTTGAATCAAACAAGTTACCTTTTCAAAGTAACAACTTAAAAGTGTGGGACTCTTTACAGTTTTCATTTTTCCAAGAAAAGTGGTCCAAAATGCTTGAAAGACAGCTAGGAAACAAGAAGAATATATCTATATTTCTTGAAGACGATATAGGAAATCAATGGAACTTAAAATTACAGAGTAAAATAACAGTCACATATGATAGGTAATAACATTCACATATGCATGCACATTTATTTATACACATGCTGAAGAATAACAGAATTAAAGCAATAACAGAGACAGCATGATATACACACATATAAAGCTAGCAAGCCAATATGGATAATAAGTAATAACATCCACATATGACTGCACAAGCACTTACACAAATGCAAAACAAACCAAAGTAATAGCATAGACAACATGATGCGAGTGCACAAACACACACATAGCTAGTGGACCCACGGACATGATTAATACCAAAGGAACAAACTGCAACAATAATCAGCTGACCTGGTTCAAGACTGGAGCAGTGATATTGCAATCATCACATTTTTGTTGACATCATGAACTTTGTTTTTTTCTCGGCTGGCTTAAGAATCTGGAAAGAGCACATTAAGTTCTCATCTACACTCATCATTGCACCAGCATTGTCAAACTCACCACAGTAGTTGGGGGCTGAAAAAATTGTAACAAGTTGCCTGTCGGCAAAGAATTCATAACCATCCTCCACAACCTGGACAAAAGAAAATTTGTTTCAGTTCCAAAATGTGTAGCAGTGGCTTGAACAGAATGAAAGGGGGAGGAGAAGGAAAGTCAATAACCTGATGGGCACGACAAACAAGGTCCAAATCATGCTTCATTAAGAACTCTGCCACCTTATCGGGGCCAAATGTATATGAGACTCCTCTGTCATTCATTCCCCATCCCTTAACATCTCTACCAGGATCTGACCAGAGCAAATCACAAAGCAAGCCAGTATCAGGAACAGCAGTTGGACGAGGTAAGTTTCTGATCTGATCCAAGTTTGTCAAATCAGGGGAAAGACCACCATGCATGCATAATATTTTGTCATCTATAAGTGCAGCCACAGGAAGACAGTTAAAGCTGTCAGTGAAGGATTTCCAAAGTCTCACATTAAATCGCCGCTTGCACTCATCATAGAATCCATATATACGATTAATAGAGGCACATTCATGATTCCCTCTTAGCAGAAAGAAGTTCTCTGGATATTTAATTTTATAGGCAAGCAAGAGGCAGATTGTTTCTAAACTCTGTTTGCCACGATCCACATAGTCGCCTAAGAAAAGATAATTTGCACTAGGAGGGAAACCACCATATTCAAAGAGCCTTAATAGGTCACTGTATTGCCCATGGATGTCACCTGGAAATAAAAAGGAAAGTTCAGGTCAGAAACAAATAGTCTGGTAAAGTGAAATGACTTCAAAACAACCATTGCAATGAGCTGCAAATATCAAAATACTAGAGATAATACCTACAATTTTTTTTTCTTTCTAAATATCACAACTCTCAAAGATTTGGACTGATTTACCTACTCATAACTCAACAGAGTAAAAATCTACGTGGCAAATATTTTTCTGAAATCCTTGTGATGTTGCAAAACAAAACATGACAAGAAATTCCGGTTCAAATTGCCTGAGTCAAATGTTTTACCATGATTTCATAGGAAATCCATAAATCCATAGGTTAATGGGTGAAGTGATCTTTAACTATCTGTAATTCATCAGGCCCTCCTCACCCCTTCCCTGTGAAATGAAAAAGGGGAAAACATGCGTACTGCCCCATCCACCCTCCCTTCCAAGTTCCCCTATGCTTTTTAACATATCCTATTCTCAATGACTAATCAAGATTACGTTAATTCCCCAATTATTTTCAATCTAAACGACATTAAATTAACCATTATAGCCTTTATTTCCCCAAACGAAGGTAGAAACCACCATTATTTTCACATGACATACAACCAGGCACATCAAGGATTTCAATTGAATTGGACAAACGATTATAAAGACAAAATACACATGGTTGCTCGACATCTTAAAGTTTCAAGCTTTTATTTCTATGATCACATGTTTTAGCAATTATACAGAACATGGAGAAGGATATCCCGTTGTTTTCAGGAAATGAGAGCAAACTAACACGACATGAGTCATTGTCACCAACTAAAGAACATATAACATCATCAATAAGCCACAATCTACTCACAACGATTACAACCATAACATCGAAGAGGGAGAACAGAGGATAACTTATTTATCAGAACATCTATAACAAAAAATAAAACAGTATATTCACAAAACATATATTATTTAGTAATGTAGCTTGCCACACATAACTGATTTTCTAAGCTACTTGTGCAATATTTTTTATGTTCTCCCTTTCAAAGTAAAACTCTGAAATGGAAAACAAAAATGCAAATGGGTACTCTTAAACTATAATCTCAACCACAAAGAACTTCAACCCCGTGCTTTCACCATCTTTCCGATAAGCAATTTCATATCAGGCATGCAAGGAAAGGGAACCCATTAGAATATATACATTGTACACACACAAACATGCAAAACCCCAGAAGGGGAAAAAAGTCAATCCAATCTGGTGCGACTCAAAATTTAGAAGATAAAATAGTTTGATAAATTAGCTGCATCAATGTATGTGGGTATGCAAATATGGTACCGCAGATTTTGATTGGGGCTTCCAGCTCGAGCAAATTGGGCTGCTGAAGAAAGATTTCTCTGGAAGCAACACAAAGCTGTTTGATCTCAGACTCCGAGAGCTGAACCTGCTTTCCCGGCCGGGCTAATCGGACCTCCGTGAGCCGTCTGATTATGTCATCGAGTACGGCAGGGTCCATCGCTCCCTGCCCTTGCGAGGCCATTCGATTCGATTTTCAGATCCTCGTTTGAACGGCTCAGATTTCCCGTCAGCTACAAAAGAAGAAACCCTAGAAATCCGAATTCGAGAAAGAGGGTCTCTCTTTTTTGGTCTGAGCTGTTATGTCTATGGAGGCTCTCACTGTCTTGTATTTGCGCTTCGAATTTGGCTTTTGGTTTGGTGGGTCAATTTTCTCAGTGAATATATTTTATAAAAATAAAAGTAATTTTCTCGGAAAAAGAGTGGGAGATGGAAAAGGTAAAGCGAAACTGGAAAATATGAGAATAAAATAGTGGGTTTTTTTAATTGGGGAGAAGAAAGCGTCAAAATATTGAAGATGGAAGACGGCTACAACTCCTATGTGACGGAGGAGCCTATAATATCTGAAAAGAAAAGAATGAGTAGGGCAGACGACGTCGTAATCTTCTTCCGCGCACAGTTCTGAATTCTGATCTGAACAATTTGATTGTTATCTGGTTTGGTTGGAGAGAGAATGGGCTTAAATTGTAAGCCCATCCAAATTTGGATGAGTTTGGTTAGGTTCTGGGTTAACCCAGCTACGTCGTTTTGTAACAAAAACTTCTTTTTTCTTTTTTGGTCAAAAACCTCTTTGGCATTGACATTTTAAAGATGAGGGTCTTTTTCTTTCTGTATTTGACTTGTTTGTTCATAGAGTGCTGCTATTTCCACCCCTCTGTCCTATTTTCCCACCCACCATGTAAATTTGAAAAAAATAAAATTTTATCTTTCCACCCACCATTATTCCTAAAACACCCTTAAATTATTAAAATAAACTAATAATAAAATAACATTTAAAAAAAATAAAAAAACAAAAACAAAAACCCTCTCTCCCCCCTTCCCGACGCAACCCCACCCCTCAGCAACACTACACTAGCCACCAGCCCCTCCCCCACCTCTTCACACTCCTCCACCATGGCTTGAGCAAAATTCTCAAAAATACTTAGTTATTTGTGCAGAGCTTCTTCAACTTCTGCGCGAAATTGGGGTTGAGGGTCAGAGACAAAGCCATGATTAATACAAAAAAAAAAAAAGCGAATTCACCTATAGTCTTATATCAATATGTCAGAGACAAATAACCCAAATAAGAAAACACTAATTCACCATGAATTCAGAAGATTAAAAAAAAAAACAGAAACAAAAATCTAGAAAGAAAAATAAGTAAAGAAGCAGAGGAAGAGGCTTTAATCTCATACACCAAGTGAGTTTTTTTAAAAGATAAATGATTGTATTAAAAGGGTGGATAAATCATCCACAACACTTGATTTATTATTATTATTATTTTTAAAGCAACCACAACCAACCAAAAATGAGACCACAGGAAAGAATCGAAAAATAAAAACAGAGGAAACGAGGAACACAGATTCGTTTCACTGCTGCCACCAAATCCAACATAATGAAAAAATGTTGTTTTATTTTTATTTTAGTTTATTGTTTTATTTGAAATGCTTTAAAAAAGTTTTTTCCTTAGGTCTTTAAAAGTCATTTTACAAAGGGATAAATTTATTTTAAAATTTTAAAAATAAGGCGGGTGGGAAAATAGGACAGGTGGGTGGAAATAGCAGCACTCTTGTTCATATTTTTCTTGGTTCGTTACTCAAATCAAGCATTTTCAAAGGTACTATATAGGGATTCTCACAACAACAAAAGAAAGGTGCTATAGGAAAATGAGGCATTTTGTAGAAAATAATAATTTCAACATATTTCTATGGAAAAATATTAAATTATTAACTCTTTTGGATGGTCCCTATTGAATTTTATTACTTTAGTTGTTTTTTCGACATCTCGACTCACATATGGGTTTAGAATGTTGACAAAAAAAAAATTTAGTACAAGTGATAGTTTAAATTACAAAGGGATGATGGTTTCTCACACACACTATCAAAGTGTCATAGGGTTCGAACCTGACACCACTAGTCTACAAGTCAAGACCATTTTACCTGGTTGACAAAACATTAAGTGTAACTTGATTTCGATTTCTTGTACAATAACAAAAGATTTTTTATTTATGAATATCGAAGATCAAAGATGGTTATTCAAATTTCGGACATTGGAAAGAGAAATATCACTAATCTATAAGAGTTACTAGCTAACTAGTACAATAACAAGAGATTTTTACCACTCGAATTATACACTAGTATGCAAATAAATAGATTCGATCATGTCTGTTTTTTATTCTTTGTATTGTGAATAAATCTAAAACTAAGTCGTTTTTTAATTTTCCTAAACCCGAAACCCTAAGCCTTATAACCAAAACGATATCCTTGTGGACAATCACAACAACACAAGAAGCACAATACATAATCCTATTTCGAAATAAAGTGTATTATTTTTCGTGGCATAACATTTTTGTTGAAATCATCAACCTCCCTCGTCTCTCCTTATTATTGCATTGTATTGGAATGTTCCAATCCAGTCGTCATGTTACGATCTCACCGAAAAATTAGTCCTCAATGTTGGCTTAAGAATCTGGAAATTGCAGGTTATGTCCTCATCTAGGCTCGTCATGCCACCAGCACTGTCAAATTCACCACAGAAGTTGGGGGTTGAAAAGATTGTAACAAGTTGCCTGTCGGCAAAGAATTCATAACCGTCCCCAACAACCTGCTGGGCACGACAGATGAGATCCAAATCATGCTTCGTTAAGAATTCTGTCACCTTATTAGTTCAGGACCAAAGGTGTACGAGATTTCCATGTCTTCCCAAGTATTAAGTCCCCATCCATCAACATCTCCACAATGAGCTGATCAGAGCAAATCACAAAGCAAGCCAGAATCCGGAACATCAGTTGGACGAGGCAAGTTTCTGATCTGATATCCAAGTTTTTCAAATGGGAGGAGAGATCACCGTGCACGCAAAATATCTTGTCGTCGACAAGGGCTGCCGCCGGAAGGCAGTTAAACATGTCGGTGAAGGCTTTCCAAAAGCCATATATGCGATTGATAAAGCCATAAAAAGCCATAAAAAGCAAGTCGTCATAAAAAGCCATATATGCGATTGATAAAGGGGCATTCGTGATTTCCTCTGAGAAGAAAGAAGTTCTCTGGACATTTGATCTTGTAGGCAAGCAAGAGGCACGTTGTTTCTAAGTTCTGCCTTCCATAATCCCCATAGCCACCTAAGAATAAGTAATTGGTGCTAGGAGGAGAGCCCCAAAGTTCAAAAGTCCGGTCATTATATTGGCCGTGGACGTTGCTGAAAAAATGATGAAAAAAGGGGAAGAAAAAAAAAAGCTCCGTTTATCCATTCACGAAATTATTTGTTCACCAAGTGATGTGTCTCTATAACATGAGAGATTGGACTTAAGTTTTAATCTTATTAATTTTCTTTTTAAATATATAATACTTAAATTTATATTGATGTTAAATATTTTGTAATTAATGAAACTGATGGAATTAAGACATTGGACTTGATTTGTTAACAGCTGCAAATACAGTGACCAAATCTGGAAAATTGAAATCATGGTGACCAAATTTGATTTTGAGCCAAACCCTAGTGACAAAAAAATGTAATTAACCCAGAAATGAATAAAGGGGGATAAAACAAAAGTTAGTGAACAAATTTGGTGAGTGTTGCATTGCTTTTGTTTTCTTATTTTTCTTGTTATTCATATCTTGGTATATATGAGCTATAATCAGAACACAAAATAAAATATCAAATTTGGAAAATAGGCATATATAATGGGAAAGCACCTGAAAATAAGAAATGGTGTACCAAAGTTAATCGTTGGACATAGGTCCGAAAAAGGAGTTTGCAGTAGGTCCTAGTAAGAGTAGTATAAGGCCATTGATGATAAAAGAGACTCTCTAATCAGTATCCTCACTCTTATAATTATTTGTCTCTTCGGCGAATGGCTAGGTTCTGCTTCATGCATACTTCCCTAGTTGCGCTTGAGTTAATATTCTTTTTCACATTAATCACTGATTTTTTGTTCTCATCCTTCAATGATGCCCTTGAAATCTGCACGCACAAATTCGGATTCTTGAGTGCAAGGGCCTCAAATTGAGCAGAGAAAATTATGTCTCTCCTGTTTTTGGCAATGTAGTTCATCACATTGTCCTTCAATGTTTGACTGGAATGAGCATCCGCAATCTCCAAAACATCAATAGCATTGGCTGAACTCAGAGACTTGAGCATATGACGCACACAAAACTTCTCTAAGTATGGGATTCCGTATTTATTGGCAGCGACATACAAGGAGTAGGCATGTTTGTTCATTTTTTCTTCAGGCAGGTCCGCATTATAGAGGAAATCCAAGAGAGACTCAAGTTCTTCTTGATTCAACTCATGCAGGGTTATGGTGTTCACCTGGTTCGATGGAGCTTTGGATCCATATGAATTTGGAATGTGGTTCAAGATTTTTGATCTAGTTGCCTGCGGTAACACAAACAACCATGATTAATTGAGTGGCTTCCTAGCTAGTAGCTAGTAGTACTTACTGATCATAGTCCAAACTTAAACATCATCTATATTATAACTAGTAGAAAATATTGAACATGTATGATACTGATCAATATATTGTACGTGGAAGTTAATTCTTTAATTTCTTGAAAACATTATTAAGAAACAGAGAGAGAGAGAGAGAGAGAGAGAGTGTGTACCAATAAGAGTTTATGTGCTGGTACTGAAGGCCCATGATCACCCGCAAGAAGTAGTATGTCAGTTGGAGTTTGATATCTATACGCAGGAGCAAACCCATTTACGTATTCAATCTTTTCACTGAGTTCTTCTAGCTCTGATGTTTCAAATTTCCTTTTCTTGAGTAAACCCTCTGATGTTTCTTTATCGTTAATAGCCATCATCCATCTTGACATATCCATGAAATCCTGTAGGTGATAAAATATATCACAAAATGGTACTACTGAGAATTGTAACTATACATTACATACATACATACATACATACGTATATATGTTTCTTCCAAAATTTATCGTCTTTTAGCCTGACATTTTAGTCTCTTCCTCAACTATTTGGCAACTTATTTTTGTTAAAAGGCTAAAAGCTGTTCATCTGACAGATAACGAGGCCTACTCCTAGTTAGAAGGCCGAAATTGAGAGAGACATGGATGCTAAAAACATAGCTGAACTCCAATAGGTCGTGAACTTAGCTAAACTCCAATGCTTAAAACTGAACTAAAAGAATCCTCATAGACGACGTCTTACTCCACTGACCACAATCTGGAAAGTTGTCATTTGACTTAGTGATTAGTAAGTTAAGAGTAAGATGTGAGTTAGGTTAAGAAGTGAAAGGTGGCGTGTGGGTTTTGATGGTATTGTGTGGGTGTCTAGAGAAATTGAACTTTCTTTACACATTACGCAGCACCAAACTGGATCAGAACAACTCAATAGTAAGGGGCGTTTCGATTGTTAACAACAACAAAAATGTAAAACTAATGTTGTAAAAATCAATAATGTGCAGTTAAAGATCCAGTTTTGCACCAAACTTACATATGAAACATTATATTAACGTTGCACTTGCGTACCTTCGCACCCAGTGATGGAGCCTGGAATTTGTCATAATGGGGGCTTGATAAAGGAGTTCCTACAATGAAAAACTACATTTCATCAAACACCTTGTTCCTATCTTTAAAAACTTGCTCAAATATTGGGGTCAAATTATAAGTTATTATTGGGTTAATTACACTGGCAAGCAAGGAATTTTACCATCGGTGACACTTTGACTTGGGCCATATGATGAAGGCATGTTCGTCTCTGGAAGCAAAAATGGTTTCTTCTCCGCGCTATGAGCATCTTGAGGCGCACTCAAATTGCTATGCCCTGCACCCAAATTGCCGCGTTTCACAGTGAACCTCTTGACGTTTGAGCGAATCCCACCGCGGCACCGCCCATAGTAATCACTAATCAGTAGTTAATAGCAGTATCAGAAACTGGTAATAAAGCTCAAGACTCATCCAATTCAATTCAAATTATGCAAATATTAACCCATTCAAATTGACCCGGAGTTTTGATCTAAATAACAACTTGAAATTGAAAGAGATAGATTACCACGTTTCCGCTTTGGGATCAGTAGCACTGAGGCTCCAGCTCTTCAAGTAAATGAAGAAGAAAGCGAATTCATGACTTGCGGAAATTGAAATCTGTGATGAGATGATGTAAAATGAAAGACTCAGGACAAAATTAATAGTTTTAAAACAAACATGCAGAATGAAAATGAAACTCACAAATTATCATCAAGAATAACATGTTTACAAAATAATAATGAGAGAGCCAGAGCTGTTTCGGCTGAGAGTGAAGACTGACGAAGAAGACGACTCAGAGAGCCAGAGCTATGGGCGACTCTTCATACTCTCTCTCTCTCTCTCTCTCTCTCTCTCTCTCTCTTCTCTTTATCAGCGTACACGTGGTTTGCCGCGCAACAAGTCGCTCGTTGTGGACTGACTCTGACCTGATCATGGCACATTTTAGCGCGTTTTGTTCACTAGAGGAACTATAATAAGTTATTCAAACTTTTAATATAATCATTCATATTGACTTTATTATTATTATTTAATAAACAAATAAATAAATAAGGGGTTTTTAATTTTTTGGTTGGGGTTGTTTGGCGGCTTTGTGAGTCCAAAATTTAGACTGAAATGTTAGGTATTTCATTTGTTTAATTTTCCAAAATTACGCCTGTACTGTAACATCACTTTAAACCGTATTTGGTGGACTGATTTGGATTAGATAAGTCCAATTGAATTAGACATAGGTTCAATTCGTTCTTTGAAACTACGCTAAATTTAGGAACCCGCGCCGAAGACATGGGTTTCGAAAAATAACTTCGATATTTTTCTTTTTTCTCTTTCTTTTGCAATTTCAGTCGTTTATTAGAAAAACAGATTAACTTTAAAAACTGAGTAAAAGAAATATAACGATCCAAGAGGCTTTCCCTTTTCAGGACACCACAGATAGAGCAGAGACTAGATTATCTTATTTGCAACTGCAAGATTTGGTAATTCATGTGACTTGATTCAGAAGCATCTCTCTGTCGCCCTTTACTAGAATATTGGCATCTACATGTAACATATCAACTGCTTCTAATTCACATAAACACACACAAAACAAACGTTACAATATTTGGAAACATCTCAAGCTGAGAATAAAGCCTGTCCTAGAATTTGTATGGCTCCTAATTAGTAAAATAGAGTTCCTAGCTAGGGTACCCCAACCCAAGCACATCTCTAGGCCTCAGATTAATGCTCAGCTAAAATCATTGGATAAGTAAAAAAGCATGGACGGCTTACAATACAAAGGGTCCCTTTTATCTTGAAATTAGTGTTTGATATACAATATACTTTTGTAGTTATAGATAGGAATATTGGAGGACGGTTGCTCGTGAAATTAGTGTGTGAATTTTTTTTCATGTGATATAACATTATTGGCCGAAGATAATGAACTAGTGTTATTCCCGTTGCAATTAAGTTTTTGCAACTGCATTTTAAGCTCTAAAGTGGGTTGACTATATATATATATATAAGATCGTCATGCATCAAAGGTTGAAACAAAGTTGTTTTCTCAAACTAATTGAAGTACCCTTCTTACATACAAATGATAGACAAAGAAATGCTATGAAAGTAATTATATAGCGTTCTATAAGTGCTAATCAAATCCTTGTGGTGTAGATTGTGAGCTTGATGAACCTGTCGTCTACAATAGCTGCCGAGGGAATGCAGTTAAAACAGTCGTTGAAGACTTCCCACAGCCGCACAGTATGCCGCCTGTCGTAAAATCCATGTCTCTGATTAGTAGCACATCCATGATCTCCTCGGAGAAGGAAAACGTTGTTGGGATACTTAATCTTGTAGGCAAGCAACAGGCATATGGTGTCTGAGCACCTCGCCTCAAAATCCATAAAGTCCCCCAAGAACACATAAGCTAAAAGATTGGTACTGAGAGTTTTTTTTACGTTTTTCTTTGTGGTAAACCCCCAAGAATTCAGATTCGTCGACAAGTCGGTAAATTTGTCGCCTGAAAAATGAAACATATATAGTTTTACTGAGAATATAAAATAGAAAACTGAAGGCTACTTATGTAGTTTTCATTATTAAAAGTAGCACAAGTTTACCAATAATATGGATAGGCGATTTAAGGTCAAGTACATTGGGCTGACTGAGGAAGATTTCAGCGGACCAATGGCAGAGCTGCGTCATCTCAGACTCAGACACCAGATCTATGCACGGCCTTGCTGATTTGAACTCCAGCCGTCTGATTATATCATCCAATAGGGCAGGGTCCATGCCTTCACTCCATTTCTCACTCTCAGGCTTTTCCACGCATTCTAACTGGCACAGTTTATATATATTTCAGTATGTTATATATAGAGGTTTCGAAATGCTATTGAATTTCAGATTAAATCCAACCACAAAATCAAGCGTTGTTTTTCAGTTAAATGCTCACATTATTCTAGCATAACTAACGTACGTAAAATGCTGGACTAATTACCTTTAAGGTGGAGCTCAGGCACGGTGTGTGAGGAATTTTATCCATGACCATGCTCGTCTCTGGTATCGAAGATGGATCTTCTGGTTTCTTTTCTACGCAATCAGCAGCCTGGGGCGCAGTACTCATATGGCTATATATGGTTTCATTCTCAATATCCTCATGCACTTTGCCCACATAATCCAAAGTGACACGTTTCACAACGTACCCTTTCACGTTCATTCGAATCCCACCACTCATGGTGTGTGTAAGGCTATTGTTAAAATTAATGCACACTTGTATCTTGAATAATATAGAATAATCTAGAAAAATTGAGAGAAATTGACAAGTTAGAGTCGACTCTACACTAGAAACATCCTACTAGTTTGATAATGTATTGTAACTAGATAATTCTAAATTTATAGTACAACTAGTGGCTGAAAACACTTTCAAAATTCGGTTATTATGCAACAACCGACTTGACTAGTTATTTGCCGACTTAGAGAGTCGGTTTAGCAACTCTATAAATATGCAAGCACCCCACTTATGCAATCAAGCAAGAAAAGCTGAAAACTACTAGCTGCCCTGTATCCACTAAGTCTCTAAAGCTTTGTAACTTTCCTCCTCCATTCAAAAAAAATTACCTTGTTATTCTTTCAAAAGTTTTCTATTCCGCACCAAGCTATTATTCTAAATACTAAAACCAACCATTCTCTAAACCTCTTCACCCTTAAACTAACAGTTATATTGCTAGCAATCAAAAACATACTATTAGATTCCACATCAAGAAATTAAACAAAGCATTCATCAATTAGGACTTTAAATCAAAGATGAGATGATATATATAATAGCATAGCCGAAATTCAGAAACTGATAAATATATAAATATATAATTTTTTTTTTATGAACACAAATATATAAAGTTAACCAAACGATAACTGGAGTAAAATTGAGGCTGATGAATGGAAAGAAAACTCGAAAACGGCAGATTCAGAAGTTTACCAATTAGCGAGGTTTTGGGCAGACAAGAGAGCTTTTGGTTCTGGTTAGCGGAGGAGCTGCTGATCAAAGAGGTAGCCGGTGACCAAACCAACCAAGAGCTTTTGGGCTCTGTTAACTTAATTCTGTCCTAATAATATTATGCGCGTTAAATCTGTGTCTTCATCTATCAAGTAGATAATGAAACGATGACCAAACCAACCAAGACTTTGACCAACGCCATTTGCACTGCATGAATAGTAGTTGAGGGAAATTAATTATGAGAGATAACAAGGAGAAGCGAGCGAGTGCGTGACAATCGAATCAGTCCATTAAAAAAAAATGGTTGGAGGCCCAAAAATTTTCAAACAAGCCCAGGATTATAACTTCAATCTTTTTCCTTTTTCTCTTTCTTTTGTAATTTCAGTTGTTTTTTAGAAAAAAAAACAGATTAACTTTAAAAACTGAGTAAAAGAAATATAACGATCCAAGAGGCTTTCCCTTTTCAGGACACCACAGACAGAGCAGAGACTAGATTATCTTATTTGCAACTGCAAGATTTGGTAATTCATGTGACTTGATTCAGAGGCATCTCTCTGTCGCCTTTTACTAGAATATTGGTAATTCATGTGACAAGATTTGGTAATTGCTTCTAATTCGCATAAACACACACAAAAGAAACGTTACAATACATCTCAAGCTGAGAATAAAGCCTGTCCTAGAATTTGTATGGCTCCTAGTTAGTAAAATAGAGTTCCTAGCTAGGGTACCAAGCTGTCAATAATATACCCCCAACCCAAGCAGATCTCTAGGCCTCAGATTAATGCTCAGCTAAAATCTTTACATAAGTAAAAAAGCATGGACGGCTTACGATACAAAGGGTCCCTTTTATCTTGAAATTAGTGTTTTATATACAATATACTTTTGTAGTTATAGATAGGAATATTGGAGGACGGTAGACCATGCAAAAACCAACTTGCAGAAGAAACACTCGTATGGAACGGGAATAACATTGTTTAACTATCATCAGTTAATATAATATTATGACATGAGTGATAATTTTTTCACATAGAATAATATTATCGGGCGAAAATAGTGAACTAGTGTTATTCCCATTTGCAACTGCATTTTAAGCTGTAAAGTTGGTTGACTATGTATATAAGATCGTCATGCATCAAAGGTTGAAACAAAGTTGTTTTCTCAAACTAATTGAAGTACCCTTCTTACATACAAATGATAGACAAAGAGAAACTTTTATTAATGGATTCTTGTGTTGTGTGTGCAAGAAGGGTGTTTTTTTCTTTTTATTTTTTATTTTGTTGAGAGAATATTATTGCCATGTGAAAACTTAATGGAAAGAAATACTAGTATATAAATAATAAGTATCTCATTCCAATCCAAAGGAGGCAAAGAGAATTATTATATTGGCAAAAAAAATAAAGGGAAAAGAAAAGGGAGAATAAAAACCTGTTAATTTTAGTGGACCACCATAATTAGGCAAGACTTTTGGGCCTGTCTGTCCACCTATTTTAAAGGTCTTGTTTGGCTGTGTTGTTTACGTAGGGGAAGAGATTGATTTTGGATAAAGCCTTTCACTTTGCACGCATCCAAACACACCCTCAAGTTCCTAAATCTAGTTGACGACCAACATGGTAGTTACGTAAATAAAGCGAATGTTCTGAGTCATTTTTAATCGTAAACCCGGGAAAACGCAAATTCCTTCCAGAATTCAAAACCAGAAAGAAAGAAAAAAAGAGAAAAGAAAAGCGCACGAAAAGAGAGAGAGAGAGAGAGAAGAGAACATTCCTCCATCTCCAACTTCAATCCATGACGATGCGTACACACACCGCGCGAACTTTTTTTTCTCTTTGTGGATTCACTGAGCTGTCCTCCACCGTTACTTTTATGGTCCTCCGCCTCACCAGATTCCATCCCTCCCTGCCTGTGCCGCATATACGTATATATGTATATGCTGCATATATTTATTTATTTTTTAGGCTTTTTTTTTTTGTTGGGTTGAGTTTTGATTGTGCGATCAGTACTTTTTCGGGTGTTGAGAAATGAAATGAATTTCATTGCTTTGGAAGCGAAGAATCTCAGTCTTTCTCTGCGTCTCTCTCTCTACATTCTAAAATCACTTTCTTTCTCTCTCAGAGATTCTCTTGCTTTCTTTCTTTATTTTCCCTGGGCCTTTTAATTTTAACGATGCCCAGTGCCTTGTTCTTCTCCCCCTTTTCTTTCGAGCCGTCCGTCACGTAATTCCTCTCTCTATCTCTCTTTCTCTCTCTGTGGTCTCTCTGTGACCGTCCTTTTCGAGGTTCTGGGTGATTCCGGCGAAGCCCTCTCTATACATAGGAGCTTCATTTTCATATCACATGGCTCCCACAGGTGTCAACCAGCTCTCTCACCCTTGTATTTATGGTATAACATACCTGTCTATATATTCATCTCCTCTCTCAATCAAATTAATTCAAGTTTTTCAAACTCTGTTTTTTCTTTTGGGCTCTGTTTTTTTTTTCCTTTCTTTTTAAAAGCAAAAAGAAAGAACGAAAAAGTGGAATTAGTTGGGAGATGTTGTTGAAATTTTTGTGGTAAGCAGGGGAGTTTGTTTCTTCGTACGCAGAGAGGAAGTCACGCTTTATGAAATGGCTCAGTAAACTTTTCAGGAGCGGGCCCAGTCGCGGAAACGCCGCTGGTAGTAATCGTCATCCGCAGCTAATTGGCGACGAAAACATGATTTGGCGGGCACCACCTCGATCCTTGGTTTGAACTTTGAACACCAACCCTCTTCTCTTTTTAGTATTCTTGACTTGTTGCTGCTGTTGTTAGGAGGTTACAAAATTTTGTTCAATTTTGGCTGCAACTTATGCCTTTACTTTTCAGTATAGATTCTAAGATTGGTATTGTATATATATTCTTTTGAGATTGCAGAAAATGGGGTTTGATAGAATTTCCTCAGCATTAGACTTGATGCCCTGTTATGCTCTGTTGTGTCCTGTGTTATGCTTTGGGTGTAAAACATAGGGTGTGTACATTTCTAAAATTAGTTTCTTTTTCGTGATCAGGATGACCCCTCTAGAGCGCAGAAGGAGAAAGAGGAATTAGACCATGCAATTGCACTGTCTCTGGCTGAAGATTTGAAGAGACCAAGTGGTAGGTTTCTGGCTGAAGATTTGAAAAGACCAAGTGGTAGGTTACTATTGTTCAAGATTTAACTCTGAATTCTACTCTGTCTGTGTGTGTGTCTATTTGACAATGTCATTAACTGAGGGTTCAACTTTTGATTTTTAATTTCCAGGATATAGATGGCAGGCAGAGAAAGATGAAGAGCTTGCTAGGTCACTTCAGGACAGTTCGAATCCGCCTTTATATCCTCCGTATGCCCCAGCGCCTGCACCGTATTATCCTTATGGACAAACACGAAGGTAACATTTTTCAGTTGTACTAGTAATTTTGTGCAGCTCAGGATCCACAGTTTTATCAATTAAATATCAGTGTTAATGGAGCTTGAAGGCTGTTGCAGCCGTTTATAAAAATTCAAATGACTTTGTGACCAACCTGGGTCTAAGAGAAGAAGGGAAAATCAACTTCAAGTTTAATTTCACAACTTCCTAATCTTGAATGTTACTGAAGCTTTCCTGTTTATGCCTGAAATTTGCAGAATATGTGGCGGTTGTAAACAGGAGATACGCTTTGGCAGCTATCTGGGATGCATGGGAACTTATTTTCATCCCCAATGCTTCTGTTGTCGTTCTTGTGGTCGCCCGATAGTTGAGAATGAGGTAGCTTGTCTTCCTTGGATTCATATCACTGTATCGATCTCTTTTCTTTGCTTTTATCCAGTTCTTACCGGTGTTTTTCTCTTGATCCAAGTTTTCTTTGTCAGGGAGGGATCCATATCACAAGTCATGTTTTAAAGAGCTGGCCCATCCCAAGTGTGAAGTTTGTCATCAATTTGTAAGATGCTGGGTCATTATAGCTCATCTAAACTTGGTCTTGGTCATTACTATAGTTATCTATTTTGACATTACTTATTCTTGATTTCGAAAATTTTCAGATTCCAACAAATCGAGCTGGTTTGATCGAGTATAGATGCCATCCATTTTGGTCACAAAAATACTGTCCATCACATGAACATGATAACACAGCTCGTTGCTGTAGTTGTGAACGTTTAGAGGTACTAATCTAAGCCAGTGCGATAATTTTTCCTACAAAAATTGTAGTGCCCTCCGCAAAATATTATTGAAATTTGAAAATGAAACGCTATGAGCACTAAATCAAATCATTCTGTTGTATTCTTCTCCTCTAAGTCTTGGGATGCAAGATACGTATCGTTGGGAGACGGACGGAGTTTATGCTTTGAGTGTATGGAATCTGCAATCATGGATACCGGTGACTGTCAGCCCCTGTATCATGCCATCAGAGATTATTACGAAGGAATGAACATGAGATTGGATCAGCAAATTCCCATGCTTCTGGTTGAAAGACACGCACTTAATGAAGCTATTGTAGGAGAGAAGAGTGTAATATTTGATAACCAAAACTGGTTAATTATTTGAGTTTTTTGCTCTGTGGAATTCCTCTAATTCAAAACTGGTTCTTTGCAGGGCCTTCATCACATGCCCGAGACCAGGGGTTTATGCCTTTCTGAAGAGCAGACCGTCACCAGTGTATGATATCAGACAATTTTTATAATTTCTTTTTCCATTATTCATTAAAATTGTAATAATTCATGAGCAGAGCTTACCAAAGTTTTTTTTTTATTTGTTTCCCTTGATTTCTCTATTTCTTATTAATCAGATACTCAAAAGGCCAACATTTGGGAGGCATCAACTGGTTGGAATAAAAACCCAACCTCAGAAATTGACTCGAAAATGCGAAGTTACTGCCATTCTTGTTCTCTATGGTCTCCCAAGGTAATGCAATTTTAAGACCATATTCTATAATATGCAGAGCATGAAAGCAAAATGCTAACCATAATATTCTCTCTTTGAAACCGAATGCAGATTACTAACAGGTGCTATTCTTGCGCATGAGTTGATGCATGGCTGGTTACGCCTCAAAGGTAGCATTTATTTCTGAAGCTCTCCCAACATGAACCTCCTCCCTCTATTTTTTTTGGGATTCATTTTTCTCCTTCAACTGGACTGTGCAGGCTACCGGAATCTTAATCCGGAGGTAGAGGAGGGCATCTGCCAGGTGCTTTCATACATGTGGCTTGAATCAGAAGTAATGCCAGGATTTAAAAACATGCCATCTTCATCTACATCCACATCAGCAGCGTCCTCTTCCTCTTCATCATCGTCATCGAAAAAAGGAGGAAAGTCCAAAGTTGAACATAAACTGGGTGAATTTTTCATGCACCAAATTGCCAACGATTCTTCCCCTGCGTATGGAGGAGGGTTTAGAGCAGCTAATGCAGCTGTCAACAAGTATGGTTTACGTCGTACCTTGGACCACATTCATCTCACTGGAAACTTCCCATTGTAATAAGGGAAAAATAATGTTCCCTGTTTCTCTGTCCCTTTGCTGTATACGGCCGCTGAAGATATTATTTGCCCAATCCCAAAGGATTGAGCTCATCACAGAAGCCATGTGGCCATGTGAGGATACAAGTCCCATGTCACTCTTCCAATCAATAATGCTGCTAATAAAATGCATTTCTTTCTTTCTTTGACATAAGTGATTCTTATGTTTTCACCATTTGTATGGCGATCAATTACGTGCTTCACAGATGTTAATGAAGTTGTGAGTTCATCGGTTCTGGAATTTTTTCTAAGAGAAGTTTGGTATCGCCTTTTCAGTTGCAAAACCTTTGTATTTTTCATTATGTAAAACATATCTTTGTATGAGAGCAAGCTCGGGATCACGTGAAAGATTCCCAAATGTGTAGATCAATTCTTGCGGAAGAGAAGCATGACACTTCAAGCCACATTAAAAAAGAATAAAAAAAACCCGGAAAAATATAGGGGAGACAAAATAAGCTTTACTTCATTTTCTTTTTGAATTCGAAAAAGACAGCAACACATCATAGTTGCAATTTTACATACATGGTATTATGATGAATCATAATACAGTTGCAAGAAATGGGCCTAAGATTTATCAGATAAGAAAAGATTGAATATGTTTGAGAATTGTAAGAGAGTCGTGTAGCATTCAATTCTAAGTGTAAATATAGGATCGTCAATCTATACATGGAAAAATATAATTCCCACAGCAGCACCGCAAAACTAACTACCATGAGATTTGTCATAGCAGCTACTTTCACTCACACCCTCCTTTCCTTTGGCATCACTTCCGGAAGATGGGCATCTACTATAAACCAGCACTAACATCTGCCAACAGCATCTTCAATGTCTCGTACGTCATAAAACAAATACCTACACCAGGTACCACCTTGTAGTATTCTGGTAGGATCCCTCTATACAGGCCACGTAAGCCTTCTGTCCTGAATATTTGCTTAAACGTACCAAAAAGGCCTGTTGTGTAGACACGGGCTCGGCCACCGGCCCCTTCCAACTGCTTCCTTCGTCTCACAAGATCCAATGGAAATGTTGCTGCATAATGTAGTGAGAGTCAAATGATAAGAGACAGCACCATTCTTGAATAACATCATACTCTAATACTATTTGAAGACTAGATCTTACAAGGTCATGAAACTTCTTAGGTCTCGAACAGTTAACCAATCAATTATAACAATGCAAAGACACTGTAATATGACAAGTCAAGACGAGAAAAGAGACTCACGAAAGGGGACAAAAACCAAGAAAATAAAACTGAAACAGATGATCAGACCAAGAAAAACTCTTATCAAGTTTGTCTAGGATGTGTCGCATTTAACTCAAACAAAGCAAGTATTCTTGCTATAGAACAAAAGCCACTGCAACAGCATGCCCATGTAAAAAGTGGTACCATGAAAATGAACTCCCATGATTGCTCTCATTTAGCAATCTCATTGCAAGCTGTAGTATCCATAAACAAGTCATGCAAAGAGAAAAAACTGTACCCAAGGGCAGCTTCCAGTAAAACGCCAGTACCAAGGTTGTTCAATGTAATGAAATAGAAATTCTAACCAAACAATTTCTTCTAATGCCCCAGTGACATCAATGGAATGATGTTACACTCAGAATGAGCTTGAATAGTGACACATTTACTCTAACATGCAGTTACACCCAGATAAGTAATATTGCCTTTTAGACTACTAGCTCTATGCAGCTTGACAATCCAGTGTGAAGTATGATAAATCAGAAGTCATATGTTTGAATGAATTTCAGTTTGTTGGGCTTGATAATTGGGTGTTAAAATGTTTTCATTCAGTCAGCAATTTATTTAAAAGCCAAAACTTGCACTATTATGACATAATGAAGGAAAGATAGATTAGAGGGCCTTAAATAAAGTATATTTAGATATTACGATCCAAGTGAAGGCAACACTAGCCCATGGCCATCACTGCAGACAGCAGGGGCTTGAAGGATTACAATACCGATGAAGCCATTGCAAAAGGAAGCCTAAGTGAGAAGCATACCTCAAAGAGGACACCTCTCACATTTGGTAACTGAGAACATCGGTTCACCTGACAGCAGTGCCACCCTATAATAGAACCGACTGCAAAGCTTTGGGAGACACGCCACCGAAGAAATGTTGGAAAGATGATGTAAATCAAAACAAGATCTTTATATTAAAAAAATTAAGTTAGCTGAATGATGGAGGAGAGCAAATTTCTTGTCAGCTTCCTTACTAAAATTCTCAAACACCAGATTAAAAAATGACTCCAGTCTGGTTTCTGGCTCTAGGGGTCAGTCTGGTTAGAGACTTGGTGCAGAGCCTGCACCACATCCTGTTTGTCTGCATCAAAAGCATAGTAAACAGCTATGTGCATTAAGTTTTATGTAATATTGACATTTCTAATTAAGAAAACTAAATTAACTGAACCAGATTGTTAACTGTAACAGCACAGTTCTAATTAGATTTGAATACAATAGTTCAGATCAGGGGTGTTTCACCAAGGTAAACTTAATAAATTATATCTAAAAGATTACATTGCCTAAATAGTAAACAGTGAAAGAAAAATGTACGTAAAAACTACAGGGGCAAAGAAGCATTATAATCAAGCATCAAGGTTGACACTGACATATTACAAACTATGACTTCCATCAAGAACAACAATCACCAGTATATGACACGAAATTCAAAAAAATAAGAGTGTACGATCACTCACCTGTTGATGATGCAATTCCTGAAAGGCTCCCACAAGCAAGACTAACCAACACAGTAGAATCATTGGGCCTGATGTAAAGATAATTAAAATAGCATTAAAATGTTAGGCCAAAACACAGGATCCATGCAAAGGTAATTGTAAGACATTAAGACCCCAGAATTGCTGAATCAATTGATAAAGTAACCACCTATGTGACTGCCAAGAAGCTCTCAAGGTCTCATACACCGAAAAACTGATAGCTATACTGGGCCCAACACCCTGCATTATGGACAGAGCAGTAGTTAGATACGCACAGGAAAACGGAATTCTAACCATAATTAAAGTTACAAAAATATTGAGCATACCAAGAGGGTTGCTCCAAGTCCCTTATAGAGGCCAAAAAGACCCTCATCTCGACTAATAGTTTGCAAAGTTTGCCAAATACCTTTGTAGTACATCACATTTGTCTGCAAAGTTCCAACTAATTAGTAGAGGAGCAAAATGCATATGCAAAAATTATCACTTGAGACGAAGAGCTTTAATTCAGACTAACATATATAGTAAACCAGACAGGATGCAATTGTTCAAACTGGAGTGAATATTTTGCCTTTGTAGCACTGGACTGTAAACTTTCAGGCAAGTATTTTTTTTAAAATTTATATTTCACTCATCCAACTCACAAAAACATAGTACGAACAGAATTGAGGAGACATACACTAATGCCCAATGAGAAAGGGAAGCACAGCATCCCCAAACATGTCAATCCATGGTTCAATAACTTAACAAATCAGTACATAAATCTAGTAAAAATAACAAAGATTGCCTTCCAACCATCTGATCTCACCTGAGCTGCAAGGCGCGTCCTTACAAGATCCAAAGGATATGTAACTGATGCAGCTGTTATTCCCGCCAATCCACCACCCACAAAATGTACGCAAAGGTCTGTACTCAAGTTCTCCCTATGATTTTCCAGTCCAGGCATTGTTTGTAGGAACTGTACCACATAAAACTCAATGAATTAAAGATCAAGCAACGATGCAACAACAAACTAGCTTGAACTGTATCTGTATGAAGGTAACATTAACTGAGTGGCTTTACCAACCTTTTTATAATGTTCGTATGCATAGAAATTAACAGAAGAATAAGGAAGACGATGAGCAATTGTAACCAGATTTCCTTTCCAGAAAGCTCTAAATCCTTCTTCACCAGCAATCCTTGAGGCCTCACGCCATATGCTAGCCTTTCTCAATGTTGCAACATCTGAGTGCATACCTTGCACCTAAAAAGATAGCATCATGTCAATAAAGCAGTTCTTGGTAAAATTAAGCATAACACAGCGTTCACTAACCTCATAACAAAACCCAATGTTCAGTAACCCAAAAAATACTATATTCAAAGTCCACTTTTAACCCAAACTTTCATTCAACAGAGTACAGAAAGCCCCTACTTTCATGTGAAAATAAACCACAACAAATATTAGCAGTAAAAAATATCAGCTTGCGAAAGCAAACGTTAAGAAAAAAAAGACTTTACCTGAAAAAGAATGGTAAGGCGAGCAAGAGGCGCCGTACAAGTTTTACTAAGAGCTCCGGCAACACCTCCGGCGAGAAGCTGCGACACCGTTCCAATCTGAGACTGTTGGTGCAGAGGCTTCGGCTGTTTCTGTGGCAGGGACTGCGCCAGTGTTCTCACACCGCCTTCGACCGCCACGCCTCCATGCCCAGTATTCAGAGCTCTCTGCCGACACCGTTCCAGTCTGAGACTGGTGGGGCAGAGGCTTCGGCTGTTTCTGTGGCAGGGACTGCGCCAGTGTTCTCACACCGCCTTCGACCGCCACGCCTCCATGCCCAGTATTCAGAGCTCTCTGCCCTCCTTCCACCACCACCCCAACTCTCGCCTCCGTCTGCATTTCAGTATGCCCTAGAATCCCCTAACTCCGCCGCGAAGCAACCTCACCCTCAATAATCGAATCTAGAAACAATTGATTGTTGTCAAAAACCCTAGAGATCAGTAATTGCACGAACCCCGACGCAGTTTTCCGCTTCTGCTCTGGAGCTTCATTTCTTTGTCTGCTCTAACTTTGCCTAATTTGAACGCAGGACGGGGGAGAAGAATGTCCAATCCGACGTCGTTGCGGCCAGCTGCGCTGCGTTTAGTGAAAAAGTTAGGGTTTGCGTCATCGAGAACTTGCCGAGTCCGCAGTTTCGTTCCTGTGCGTTCAGTTCTATCGTAGCAGGAGACAGACAGCCAGTTGCAATTGGTAAGCGCAAATATATTTTGATAATAAATAAAGGTCGGTGATTGCTATTCGACAATACATTGAAGGCGGCTGAAAATTTTAACCGGTCTTAGCGTCTTACAATAAGACTGGGCGCAGAAAACTTTCGCACACGCGGAATATCTGATAATTTTGGTTTCGAATATGCTTGCATTTGGAGCTAAGGTTCGACTTCGTAGGCGTATTGGTGACAGCTGGTAAGATTAACTTTGATGTAATAAGTCGGTTTATTATGGTTCTCCACTACGTGGCTGCCAGGTAGCATTCTTGAAAATCTACGAATTCGACCTTTTTGTCTTTTTGTCTTTTTTATTTTTTTCAACTACCGACCAACCCTTCCCGCAATATCATGTGTTTTTTACGCATATACAACTATTGAATTTTTATATATTATTTATTTACTTAATTTCGTTCATGAACTGAGCACCCGAATAACTTCTCTTAACCGCTCAAGCTACAAGCTCCTATATGCGTTTATACTTTGCTTTTTTCACTTTTTTATCTTCTTATGCGCCCACTGATTAGGGTTGATTGCAAATTAAAGCAGAATTTGGAACACGATACCACCTATTTATCATGCCCCATTGTGGGTTGTGACTTGAGACGATAATGCCAAACAATCAGAAATATCTAGAATTCATCACATAAATTATGATAAAGCAACAATGCCTTGCCATTAGCTCAAACTTCTCCACTATTCATTAGCGATTTAATTAACAAAAAGCATGCCCCTGTAGCTTGCTCCCCTTTACACCCCAGCCAGCAGAACCATTTTATAGCCCAAAAGTCTTTCCATCCAACATGCTCATTTTTTGGCTTGCAGACTCAATACTAAAGAAACTTCATGGCTTCCTCCATAAGCTGAATTCCTCCTTTGTGTCTGATCACTCTGCTCGGGCACGCCGCGGTGGTCGTTTTTTCTAGAGCGTTTAGTTTGGGTGTCTTGAGCATTTTGGGTTGATGTTGTTGGGGGCAAAATCCCCAGTTGGAGTGGTAACTCTAAACAAGGGTGAAGAGATATGTCTGAAGTTGTTTGAGCCTGCTGTGTTTCAAGAAAGTGTATTTCTTCCACCATTGGTTTCCAGATTCTTACTCTTGAATTGATAAACCAATTAGAAACCTGCATTCATTTTTTCTTATATGGTCAATTTCATCACTAATTCAAATAGAAATGATCCACAAATGACTTGGTAAATGTAGGTCACCTGAGTTCTTGATAGGCCAGTCTGTTGAGCCAACATTTGCTTTTCAGAATCAGAAGGGTAACTGAGATGAACAAAAACCCAAGTTTCATGAGACCAATGTATTGAATTGAAATATACCAATTAAGTTATTGAGAAATCACTCACGGGTGAAGGAAGTGTTCAAAGAGCCATGTCCTCAGCACAGCAACTGCATGCTCAGGAAGTCCTCTTTGGCATCGCGAGGCAGATTGATGAGGGTTGTTGGTCAAACTCAGATGACTTGGGTTTTGGCCTCCATCAGAGGAGCCCCTAGCTTCATCTTTAACAAGGCCAAAATCATCAGCCAGAGGCTTCTTGCCTCTGGTTTGAAGCTTCTCCAAAATGGCGTTCTTCAAGCACCCGAAGTGCTTCAAAATGGCCTTGATAGCAAAAGATATGTAAGGGGCTGCATCTCCAAGCCCATCAATGGTCTCAAATGATGCCACCACTGACTCCATCTGTTGGCAGTACAGTTTATACTTCTTGTACACCTAAAAACCACACCAGAAAATTGAACACAAAATTATGAGACTCCGGCTCCAATCCATATCTCTTAACGGTTGAATCAAACTCCAATTCATATCTCTTAACGGTTGAATCCATATCTCTTAACGGTTGAATCAAACTAATTAATTTAATGCAACAACTAATCCATTTAATTCAACGCCTAAAAAGATAGGGCCACGTGAATTCTACTAAATGTGACATTTGATTTTGGCAGAGCATATGTCATCAGAAACAATGAACAGTGGAAAAAATTAAATTGTGACAAGACAATTCATCTTTTTTGGGCCATCACCAGTGACCACTAACTATGTCAATCAAATGATGCGACACCTTGGCAGCAAACAAACAATCAAAGTTCCATTCAATCCAATGTGATAAACCTGCTTATATTTACATTTTTCACCACCAAAAATACAATCCAAAAAATATCCAGGCTAATTTTAATGAACCAAGATTTTGTTTTAAAATAAACAAAAACTTAACCAAGATTAACACACAGTTGATTAGAAATTCAAAACATTATTTGTCACATAAATATTTTATATTTTCAATTAAGGTGTATTGTATTGTACTGATTGTATGTACCTCCTCCAGCATGATTGTCAGCCTAGAGTTCTTCAACTGAACATCAACTCGATCATCAGTTATCGGATCCTTGACCCTCCCGCTCAAATAGTTCGGCGGAGGAGGATTCGAGTCGGATCGACCCGACCCGCAGAAATCTTCAAGGAGCTGCTGAGCAGGCTTCAGAAACCTGGAGCGCTTCAGGACTGAAGCGTAGCCCGTGAATGGGCCCAGAGGAACCGCTCTTCTGAGTTCATTAGGCCGACGTAAAGCGTCGTCGTTCTGGTGGGAATCCGAGAAGAAAGGATGAGAAAATGGTGGGTTCGATGTTGGTGTGTGGGGGTGAAGGGTGAAGCTGGTGTTGGCTCCAGGCATGGCGAGAGTGGGTGTGAATCGTTGTGGTGGGTTGTTCTGAAGAGTGACTCGGAGCTTGTCTCTTCTACTTTGTTGGGGGACGTGGAAGGCTTCGAAACCCTCATCCGCCATGATTGAATTATGAAGCTTTTGAGAAGAGAGAGGCGAGAAATTGATGAAGGAAGAAAAAAGTCTTGAGCTTTGGGGCAGAGTGTAACATGATGGTGCAGTGTTGCAAAATATTGTACCAAGAAAGAAACAGAGGCTTCGACGTGATGGATTAGAAAAATATTATTTCTTTTTCTCTTTTGCAATTTTGTTTCCACTCTCATTATCTGCATGTGCTATTTGACTGTTTTAAAATCACAAAAGAATCGTTTTACATACAAATCACAGTAATTTAAATGAATGTAGAAGGAAGACGTAGATTAGGCCAGTTAACTAGTAACTAATCGGTGGTCAATTTTCTAAATTATGCATAAATTCAAGGCATAGACTGATTAATTCCATTACACATCAGTGACAACAGCCACCCTTCTCTCCACATTTTTGTAAGTATAGCCCCTAGCCAACAACCCATAAAAGCACAAATTCAAACCATTCATGGCTGCCAAAAGCCAGTAGAAATTGTCCAAGCGGCTAGAATTCAAGTCCTTGCCAAACCAACTTCTCCCACCCTTCTCTGTGACATGATCCACAGCCATGATCAGGAAGCTGCTTATGAAGCTTCCAACCCCAATCACACTCAGATAAAAAGCAATACCCAAGCTTCTCATTGAGTCAGGAACTTGGTCATAGAAATACTCCTGCAAGCCAACCAGAGTGAACCCATCTCCAAGCCCAAGAATTATGTACTGCGGAGCTAACCAGAACACGCTCATAGATTGTGGCTCATCAGCTTTTAGTCTTCTTCTTTCAACTAATGCTGCAGCTGACATTGCCACCACTGAAAAAATCATCCCAAATCCAATCCTTTGCAGGATGTTGATGCCCCTTTCATTGCCTGTGACTTTTCTTAAAATTGGAACAAGAATCTTTTCATAGACTGTGACAGAGATTAGCATTGCAATGGCCCCAAGAGAATATATGGAGGCTGGAGGGATTTTGAAGTTGTCAGTGATGTTTAGGTTCATTGTAGCAGCTTGTTTGACAAAGAATGTTGGGGCTTGTGCCAGGCATACTCCAAATGTCAATGAAGTTAGCCATATGGGGATCATGTTCAAAATAAGTTTCACCTCCTCCACCTTTGTTAGTGTTGTCAATCTCCAAGGATTATGTTTCTGTTCATAAGATGTGCTGACATGCTCTTCGATTATCGCAGCCTTGTCTAAAAACCTACAGATCAGAGCTAATTAGTAACAACTATCGAGTGTTGCTATTTGAACCATATTTACTAACGACTTTACGGTCAATATTAATGTAGTAAATAATAGGCACATAAAAAGTACATTGTACTTATATACTTGTCTAAAAACCTACAGATCAGAGCTAATTAGTAACAACTATCGAGTGTTGCTATTTGAACCATATTTACTAACGACTTTGCGGTCAATATTAATGTAGTAAATAATAGGCACATAAAAAGTACATTGTACTTATTATATATAAAGGGCTATGCTTTTGCTTACCTAAGCCTATTTGTGTGAAGTAAAAGCCTTCCTTGGCAGTGCTTCTGAGACTTGGGAACTTCAAATAGCAGAGCAGGGGTTGAAGGATTGGGTAAGTTTCTTTTTCTTATGGCTGCAACCAATACCTGCAGCATTGGTATCAAAGGGCTTCCTTCTGGCACTTTATACCTATAACAAGCCTTCCCCATGTAGAAGGTCACAATTGTAATAGCCATGGTGATTGTGAGAATGAGATCTGCAACACCCCAGCTCACATAGTCTTGAACATAAACAATCACTGTTACACCAAGAAGCAAACCACAACAAAGTGCAAAGTTCCACCAGTTGAAGTAGGACATTTTCTTCTTTCTTTCTTCCAAGTGATCGTCGTCAAATTGGTCAGCTCCAAAGCTTTGAAGGCATGGCTTGTGCCCTCCAGTTCCAACAGAGATAAAATACAAGGCAATGAAAAGTACCACTTCATGAATTTTTCTAGGCTCTAGACACATCTTTGTATTGCAGGGCTTTAGACTTGGGATAAACTGTGACATTGTAAAGAGACTTAGACCCTGTTGAATTTTAAAAAATAACAATGATTAGTGATGATTAAATAGATAACTAATTTCTAATTAGAATTGGGATTGCGTATATTTAATTATTACCATCATATATATGAGGGATGAAAACAGAACCATGTTGAATCGGCCAGTGTAGGCGTCTGCTAAAAAGCCT